TGGACAACGGAACAGACGACATCACACAAGTTTAATACGGCCTTTCTTCGGGATACTGTAAAGCTCAACGAATTCAGGATAGCCCTCATCAATAGGTTGCAGGCCTTTCAGGATCTACTCAATGGAGAGGACGCAACATTGGAGAACAATTGGAAAGGGATTAAGGAGGCAATCACTTCAACATGTCACGAAGTTCTGGGTCACAAGGAATGGATCTCTGTTGATACTCTCGCAAAAATTGAAGAAAGGAGGAACAAGAAAGCAGCAATCAATGTCAGCCGAACTAGAGCGGAGAAAGTTACCGCACAAGCTGCATACACAGAAGCAAACAGGGAAGTGAAGAAGAGCATCAGAGCTGACAAACGAAAATATGTGGAAGATCTAGCAATGACGGCGGAAAAGGCTGCAAGAGAAGGAAACATGAGACAATTGTACGAAACAACAAAGAAGCTGGCCAGAAACTATCGTAAACAATAACGACCAGTGAAAAGTAAGGAAGGCAAATTAATCAGCAACACTGAAGAACAGCGAAATAGGTGGGTAGAGCACTTTCAAGAACTCTTGAATCGACCAGCTCCACTGAACATACCCAACATCGACGCACCATCCAAGGACCTCCCAATTAATATTGGCGCACCTACGATTGAGGAGATCAGTATGGCCATCAGACAAATCAAGAGTGGCAAAGCAGCAAGACCAGACAACATTCCAACAGAGGCAATGAAAGCAGATGTAGGAGCAACTGCAAAAATATTTCACATCCTCTTCAAGAAGATTTGGGATGAGGAACAAGTACCATCAGATTGGAAAGAAGGATACCTGATCAAAATACCGAAGAAAGGCGACCTGAGCAAGTGTGAGAACTACAGAGGCATCACTTTTCTTCCAATACCAGGCAAAGTCTTCAACAGGGTATTGATAAACAGAATGAAGGACTTCGTAGACGCCCAACTTCGAGATCAACAGGCCGGATTTCGTAAGGATCAATCATGTACTGACCAAATTGCTACATTACGGATCATTGTGGAACAATCAATTGAATGGAACTCACCACTCTACATCAACTTCATCGACTACGAGAAAGCATTCGATAGCGTGGATAGGAAAACACTGTGGAGGCTCCTTCGACACTACGGTGTGCCCGAGAAAATAGTCAACATCATACGGAATTCTTATGATGAATTCAACTGCAAAATCGTGCACGGAGGTCAGCTGACAGACTCTTTTGAGGTGAAGACCGGTGTCAGGCAAGGTTGCTTACTCTCACCCTTTCTCTTTCTCCTGGTCATCGACTGGATTATGAAAACGTCAACATCTGGGGGGAAGCACGGTGTAATTGGATTTCTACCGTGACAGTTCAATTCGATTCCAATAGACGTACGTCGGACGCACTTCCCGATTTATAATATAAAACACAATAATTCTAGGGGAAAATGGTCTATTAATAAATAATAAATGGAAATACAAACAATACCTAACGAAATTTACGCCTTCCAATTCAAAATTACTCTGAATGAGTATCAAGGTTCCGAGGTCTAGGTGAACTCCTATACTGCACGATATCCATCCAAAAATGTGGCGGTAGCCATATTATATCAAATTTAAACAACATATGTACAGTTCAGAAGCAAACATAAAAACTTCAATATAAGTACAAAATATAGAAAGAATAACAATATACAATGATAAAATCTCAAATTGGAATCAAATAAAATACCAAAAATGTCAACAGAAAAAGTCCGTCATGTCATAACAAAAATATGTAAACATGGAGGGATTTTCCAAAAACACAAAACATTCAAAAAGGATTCTACACACGGTATCAACTGGACAGTTAGGACGCAGCTGGACGACCTGGACTTCGCAGATGACTTGGCTCTTCTATCGCACACGCAACAACAAATGCAAGAGAAGACGACCAGTGTAGCAGCAGCCTCTGCAGCAGTAGGTCTCAAAATACATAAATGAAAAAGCAAAATTCTCCGATGCATCACAACATGCACCAGCCAAATCACTCTTGATGGAGATGCCTTGGAGGACGTTACCACCCTTACATATCTTGGCAGCATCATCGACAATCAAGGTGGATCCGATGCAGATGTGAGGGCACGGATCGGCAAAGCAACGGCTGCATTTCTACAGTTGAAAAATATCTGGAACTCCAAACAACTTTCAACCAAAACCAAAATCAGGATATTCAATACAAATCTCAAGACAGTTCTACTGTACGGAGCGAAAACATGGAGAACTACGAAAGCCATCATCCAGAAGATACAAGTGTTTATTAACAGCTGTCTACGCAAAATACTTCGGATTCGTTGGTCAGACACCATCAGCAACAACGAACTGTGGGAGAGAACAAGTCAGATTCCAGTGGAGGAGGAAATGAGGAAGAAGCGGTGGAAGTGGATAGGACACACATTGCGGAAAGCACCTAACTGCGTCACAAGACAAGCCCTCACATGGAACCCTCAAGGCAGAAGGAAAAGAGGAAGGCCAAGAAAACATTACGCCGAAAAATAGAGAAAGATATGAGAGGAATGAACAAAAATTGGACAGAACTGGAGAGAGAAGCCCAGGACAGAGTTGGTTGGAGAAAACTGGTGGGCGGCCTATGCTCCATTGGGGATAACAGGCGTAAGTAAGTAAAAAAGTAATAAACTACTGGAAACCGGTACGTTTGAACCGCAGATGTTGGAGCCAAAAAGTAGCTATCCAGGTGAAATATATTTCACAATTACTAATCAAACCCCAGGATAAGCTATTTTTACTGTTGCTTCCTGATTTTCTTTTCTTCAAACCAGATTGCGCAAATAAAGTACAATCAACGGCTTCATTCGTCTTTTCCTAATCATCAAACTATCCCCCTAACAGAATACCATGATGGAACAAAGAAATAATATTACTGGAGATGCAGTATATGCCTCATCCTGTAAATAATATTTAATAGATTTAGCGAGATGAAGCAAAGGTTGCTTTCACGATATAATCAAATTCTATGTGTTAGAAGTAATGTTTTTCAGTTGGTAAGTAGTTTGAAAGACTAATGTAAGTTGATCTCGGTGAATTGGTGCCAAGTGTGTGTATATCTTTTTATAGGAAGCTACTATACATGTTATGAGTAAAAATTAACACTTGAATGACAGCTTTATTGCGTCAAAAGGACGCAAGTGGAGCACCTAAACCTTGGTCAGTTTCAACCTTTCCAAAAAGTTATATATTATTCTGCTGAATGAAATCTGAGGGAGAAAAATTACCAGTCGTTAAAGGGAATCTAAAGTAGTTAACATACCCCGAGATATGCTCATCACGAATAGCTTAAATGTTTATACATCTTGTGAATTACTTTTCTGCAGTAACGTGAAGGATGAAGGGCCGAAAAGGTATTTCATAATAAGGTGATCTGGCTAGAAACACACGACCAACTAAGTTTATTATTTGTCTTAACCCACAATGTACAACTATGGTTTCTTCACATCATAATACATTCCAAACTCCAACTCTCATCTACTTCCAACCTCAAACAAATGATTTTTCAGATCAGGTTATGTATTGTTTTCTTCTCTATTTACAGACAAATAGACATTTACCAAATATCTTTGTGCAGTATTTTAAAAAGATCATTATTGCCTAATATAAATATAAATAATAGCGCTGAATTAAAATGAAATAAACATTCTAATTTATTTCAAAGTAATATATACATTAGTAACAAAAGATAGCTACAAATGAAGAAAGTAAGGAAATACAGTTGATCTATAGTACAATATGACTATTGGTTTGAAGATCGAAACAATTACCATCTTCAAACGTAAAATAACAAAATGTAACTGTTATTTCCTTCTATAAAGTTATATAGATTATTTTTTATTTAAAATTTAGATGACTTGATATGATGTTTAACTTGGGGAGGAAAACTGCTGCTGAAATGAATGAAAAAAAAATTAAAATTATTTACGAAATTATTTGTAACAGCAGATTTATCACAATAATTCTTTTCTATCTGTTTTCCGTCCCTTTCCTATAGCTGTAGATACTAAAAGTCACCCTGTCATGGTATTGAAATTACATATTGATGTGTTATTCATACATTACTAGGATATCGCGATTTCTCTGCTAAGAAAAAAACTGGATGCCGAATGATGCCTCACAGTATTTAAGTCTACAGAACAAATGTTGTTGCATCAAAACAATTAGAAACTGCATGAAAAATTTAACCTTATATCTCTATCCTTTATATGTTATTATTACTATTTGTAAGTCCTGATTTTTGCTTAGAATATTTTTCATACTCCAATGTCATCTCGCAGACACAGGCACCAACAACGAAATTCTTGTGTCTTGTACGTATAAACTAAAAAATTAACATCAGGAAAATATGCGAAATTTCTAATCTGATCTTTAAGTATTTATGCCTCTACTGATATACATCTCTGTATCCTAACTGTTTTAAAGTCGTTCACAGGAAGTTGTAAAAATACATTTTGTGTCTGTTAACAAAAGACAGCAAGGCATACATGCAACCCCAGATAAGCTCTTATTTACTATAAAATTCAAATAATCTGTTTTATTACTTCTATGCTTTCACGACTCTTTATCTTCATGTACATTCACTGTATCAGTCTTCAATTCTCTGTTTTTCAGTGATTTTAAGGTTTTACTGGTTTGACTTCGAACTATGAAGAACAGTTAAGCAATACTAAAGTGGCCTTGAGGAACTTCAAGCACTAACTAAGGTTTAATGAAGTTTATAAATTAGTATGAAGAGTCATAGTTAGGGCTTTGGACACGAATACTAGCTTTAACCTATTTGGTCATATGAATGAATGAATTTTGAGCAAACTTCCATGAGTCTTTATGTAAAGTCAAAATATTTCGTCCATAAATAATAATCATCAAAAAACTGCAATTTATAGTGCTTGTAAAAATTAACTCACCTTCAATTTGTAAATCATTATGTTAAATAATACAGCTTCATTCTGTATTACAGATTTAATGTTTCATTCCATTGTAAGTTTAAAATCAGTAGTTGATGTTGTTAAGATGTTATTCACTTGAAAAGTTTGATTAATATTCATTAGTTTACTGTCTAGTGAATGAGTTCTACGTACATGACTATCATGTGCTGCATGTGAAGCAAATGGTTTCCAACAAAATTTACACTATATTTAAAAGTAATTACAATCATTAACATAAATTACTAATAATTGAAAATATTCAAATGTTAAAAAGAATACTTTACAAAAAAAATATACAGTGAATGATAATAATCTGTGCTTAAGAATTTTCATGAATGATTTTCATTACAGCACATACCAAACAGTGATCTGATGAGGATAGTTGACTGAATCTCTTTATCTCACAGGGTGTTCAGAGAAATTAATGGGCTCATTATCAACATCGAAAACTTGCAAAACAATGTAATCTGGGTATTTATTTACCACCAAAGAATGATTAGAAAGTATTCCATCTATTTAACGAAGATAATCAATTCGATTTGTGGTAAACACCATCCAAATTCTCGAAACAAAACCCACTCTTTGACTATACAATATTATTTCGATCTAGTAAATGGAATATAATTATCACTAATATTTTAGAAACAAGTCGCCTGTACTTCTATCATATAAGTAAAGGATTTTCAATTACCATTTAAGCTTTTTATGATAGTAATGATAAACATTATCACCTAAATCATATTAAACTTGGATTTCAGCGATAAAGCAACTGTTCACTTTGAATAGTTAGAAAGTTAGGTAAGATAAAGGATAATATGACAATATACCTATTTCCATATGACTGCAAGTAAACCCTAATGATGAATGCCAAGTAGCTTCAAATCTATTGTCAGTAATTTCTGGTGATTGTCTTCAGTCAATTAATATAAAGCACGATATAAAGTTACTCTTATTTGTGGCCAACAGTGTTCAGCAAAAGCGAAGCACTAGATGATGTAGCCATAGGTGATCAATCAGCGTAAACTTTACAGTTATACAGAAAGTTAACTGCAACCTGCATAATTCATTTCATGCATCTTTGGTCATAAGATTTGGTAATATAAACCCAAATCTTACCAGGAATCTAACGATCTACAAAACACTTTATTGAATAGTTCAAAATATCAGGAAAACTGATTCTTTCTAACAACCAAAACACAAGATTTGACATACGGAATCGATTACCGGTGGCTAGTAATCTAATCCAACTGATAACTTCCGAATAGGACGAAATGAGCATCCATGATTGGATGTTTGTTCACGATCCATCTATGGACTTCTCATAGGATGAGAATATATCTATGGTGGAACAGCCCATACCATTTCAAATTTAATAGAGTTTGACCTTTTAATTAGAAACTATTAAATTAATTCTACCACCTAATATTGATATTATTTTCTAAAACTTTTCATTACACCAGCAGTAGAATGATAATAAGTGTTATTAAGCATAGAATAAAAAAATTTGCATTAAAATATGCATCTATACTACTGAATAGCTTAATAGTTTGAAGGTCCTCAGAGAATATTCAAGTCTGTACTTTATGTTTGGGATTGACGTAAGTTTGAATCACATCTATGTTTGAGATTATGTTTCCCCTAATAACAAAAGTATAGTTTCTTTAGTAACATTTTTTTTAGATTTAAAAAGACAATAATGAATAAATTTATCTAATCGATTAAAGCATTATCATCAGTCGACCTACTTTAAAAGGCTTCTCTCCTGAATGTTGTCGAATATGTGTACGTAGAATACTACTGGCAGTAAAAGCTTTATTACAATAACAACATTTATATGGACGTTCACCACTATGTACCTGAAATAAATAGAAAAGTTTTATAATCACTGTAATAAGTTTTTAAAAACTATAACTTGAGAAAATCATTATTGAATATGTCAAATAATTAAGTGGTTGGTATTCAATGTTTTATATTTCCAGCCGTTTTTTCAATTTTTGAACCGTGTACGATTATCATTTATTGTCAATCAGTTCATGGTTTGAAATAAAATAAACAACTTCAAAATAAATCATGCTTATAAACTCCATCTTAATGAAATTATCAATAACTGACCATACATTTTCAGTAATCAAATAATACTATGCTTTTTTACTGATGGAAAAAATTAGATCCAATAAGATTTATTTTAATTCGAAAACACTTATCAAGTATTCTTTAAGAAACTACTCTATTCAACTGATTCTTATTATGACATGAGATCAAGTTGAACCAGATTTATTATTGACTGTAGTACATTGAATGGCAGTCAGTATATAACCATAACATTTCATAGAAAACATGTTAATTCCTTTTTATTAAGTTGGTTAAGTGTCAAACACATAGAATCAACTTGTTGAATAGTTCATGAAAAAGTGACTGTTGTTTTAAATAGGTCAAAGTTGGTTACTTTGAAAACAGTCTTCGAAGATTTCAATTTTCGTACCTACTTTAGTTAACGCAAATCATCCAGTAAACACAGTACTTTGAGAATACTAGAAATTATGATGAGCTTGAAATTCAAGTGTTATTAAATAAAACTGGACAACACATGTTTGATTTGCATTAAGATTGAACTTATGAAAACAAAGAACCGCTGGTATCCAAATATAAAATCGATTTCATCCTATTGAAAGATTGTTTATGATTATATTCATTCTATTCACTTTGAGATTGAATTACTCACAGATTGCATTCTATGTACTTACTGAGTCGTCAGCACACTTTTTCTCTTGTTCTTTCCTCTACCATATAACCATACATCCTGCTTCTCATACTCCCTCAGCACAAAAAATAGCTTCATGCTAAACGTAAATTTACCAAAGGTTGTATTTTACAATAATAACTTTACATATCCAATGAACAATTCTTTTCATTACTAATCGATCTTTAACATAACTTACGGAAATTTCTCAGATACATAATGTAGATACAATGTGACAGATGAAAGATCTTTTTCTTTTCATCCCTTACTAGTTTTTCCAAATGGTCAATGGAAAATATTTTATCAACTAAATTAAGTGTTAAATTAGTAAAGCACTAGAATTCAGATGTATATATGGATGATAAAGCTGAACTATGACAATGCAAGCCATCAGAACAAAAAAATTAGAATCTACGACTCATGAACCTCGCAGGATTCGAAGACAGGACCTTCAGTTTAGGGCACGAACGCCTAACCTCTGGACGACTAAACCTGTATCTAACACCGTTAGTGTCTAACTTCGATTATTTCACGGTCTTGCGCAACCTGCTACATTGTCTTCGGTGAACACTGCTTCACACCCGAATAGGGCTTAACTTCATCGGTCACGACTTCTCACAAGAACTCGGAGAAGATTCCTCATTCCAGGACGAAACGGTCGTTCAGTGCTTCCAGTTTTCTAATGGTGGTCTAACATTGACTGACTCATGATTTCAAAAAATAACTCAATAATCTCCACAAACCCCTTAATGCAAATTAGTATCTACGAAAAGCCTGCAACTTTTCAGCTCCATTTTTCACTCGACATTTATAATGTTGCAGTAAATGGACAGAGCAAGTTCAACAGCTAAATCATTCACCTCAGACTGTAGTCGTAAAAATTAAATTC